CACCAGGATGGGGTAGTTGGTAGCGCGGCTCGGACTCAGAAATGAGGGGTATCCATGAGGGAAGGAGGTTTCCAAGCGGCGCAGAGCTGCTCGAGGGGAATCAGGCCTTAGCCAGGAGCCGTCAGCCGAGTCCTTAGCCCTTCCCGGAGCGGGATAACGGGAAGGAGGCGTCCTGGGCCGTCCCGTGTTGGGAAGGAGGGCGCCCAGCAGCTCCCCAGGCAGGCTCAGAACCAGGTAGCCACGCGGAGGTCGCAGAGGTTTTGGCTTCGTTGCAAACCATAGTCTAAATTGGTGCAACATTCGGTCCAAAAAGCGAAGAAAAAAGGTTATTTCTATGCAATGGAGAAAAAAGAAATCTGGTTTGTGTCAACCCAGTTCCCGCTCCGCAGTGTTCCGTCCCGTTCCGTCTGCTCTGCCCGTGTTCCGAGGAGGTTCCCCGTGTTGTACCCAACACCCTTCCGACCTGTAACACTAAAGTGATGAAAACTGACAATGCAATTTACTTTGCCTTAATGAGCTCGAGACAATAGTAGGAACAATCTGTCACACTGTATCGCGCTGAAGGAAGTGTGTGGTTTTCACTTACCATGTTTACTCTTAACAGCTCTGAGGGTCTCTCCAGTGGCCTGGAACATGTGCTGAAAGCCAAACTTTAACATTTTTTTCACTTTTTTTAAACAATGTTTTAAAAAGGAATTGTATTTGAATAAACTGTACTTCAACACACACGCGCAAGTGTTAAAAACCCTTTGTCAAAACAGCAAAAATCAAGAGCAAAAAAAAAAAAAGAAAAAAAAAGAGAAAAAACAGTTTTTTACACTAGTTGCATTAGTTACGTTTTGTTTTAAGGCCCAAGGCTGGGAATGTAGTCTCGTCAAGCATTCATCACAAAGTCAAAACTGTAACAAATGGACTATGGAATCGAACTTTTATCCAGCAAACGTCTTGGAAAAAAGCAACCTGTTTCATTCCTGTCTTCAGAGCTTTCTTTGGGATTGTTTCCTTTGTGTGAAGTTACGGCTGATGTTTCTTAAAGTGGCTTATGTGTACTTATAGGTAATATTTTTAAGTGGTAAAGTCTGATTTTAGGCTAGGTTTGAATTCCGAAGTCTTGAGTACCTTAGAGCAGCACGACTTTAATGCAGAGCTGGTCGAGGCGGCTCCGGAGCCCTCCAAGACCCAGGGGCAGTTGTGGCTCCAGACCTGCTCGTGAGCGCAGTTCCCTTGTACCAAGAACAACCAAAATTGGTGAGTTAAGCAGAGCACTCTAGTTCCATAAAACCACCTTAATCTTTTCATCCATTTTTTCTCCCCTCTCCCAAGGAAGGCAGTTTGCTGCAGTACGGCAGCCCCAGCTTTCGCAGCTGAAAAACCCATTCTTTAAACCTATTTTTATACGTTGAAAGATGGAGATTTCAAAGTATGCTGTTTATTGCTATCTTTGCCCTGAAAGTTTAAAAAGGATTTGTTCCCGGAGTGGATTTCGCAGTGGAATAAGAGCGATCTTTAAAATACAAGGGAATCCCAAGTCGTCATCGTGCAGGGACGTGGCAGGGATGAGTCTTCCTTAAGTTAAGTGAGGTGCAGGGCAGCTCCGAGGTGTTTTCCGCTTGGGAATGTTGCTGCTGGAGCGGCCACAAATAGAGCAGGTTTTCCAGCCACCTCCTCGGCACAGTCATAGGCCGTAAATTCAGCCTTAATGATACCGTGTGGCTGACACCAAGCACGAGGGGGTTGAGCAAGGAAGGCTCATTTTAGCAAGCGACGTGGTGTTGATCACAGGTTTCCATAGTAATTTTCCTTAAAAGAACACAGGAAGCTTCGCTGGTAGTGGAGCTTTTTAAGTAGTGTCTGTATCCCAGTCACTAACCCTTGGCAAATGAAGCAGCAGAGCTCCAAAATTAACTCGCTAATTAGCAGCCCGTCAGCGTTCACTTTTAGCATCGTGCTGTTTCTCGCTGGCAAGCTTCGGCATGAAGGTACTCCAAAAAAATGAGGTTTTTGTGTTCAGCAGAGCAACTCTTTGAATGTTCCTCCCCAGGAAAGCAAGACCCGAGCCCTGCGTAGAGTTTAGTGCTTTATTTTTAATGTCATCAGGCCCAAAGGAGGCGAAGTCGCAGTCCCAGAGCTGGGGGTTTGGGGTAGCTAGAGCCCCTTTCACCTGAGCACTAAGTGGCCAAATCTTGAGAGAAAACACTGCAATTTCAGCACCCACAGGGGTGCAAAAACCTCATTTGCTGGTTGAGGCCAAAGGTAAACGTAGCTACAGCCACCCCAGCCCCACATGGAGATACACAAATAACTTCAATGTGTTGTTACAAACCCTTGGAACTACCCGTTTGCTCTCTGAAATCCTGACACAAGCAAGAAACGTGTTGGTACGGAAGCAGAAAGCGAATCCTGTGTGTTTTCAAGTGCAGATTAACAGCTTCTCTTGGACATAACTTTCCACTAGGAATGAAGGAAATTCCTGCTCCTATTTGAGCCATTTCTTTTACTTCAGTCAATTCTAGTATTACAAATTGTGCATGTAACTTTATAAATATTTTAAATAGTTTTGTAAATATTTAATATTCAGCTAATTTGATTTTGAATTGTAAATGTCAAGTATTCTGGTATTGGGATTTTTATGTTTTATTATACTTTGTTAAAAGTTAAATTGTACATTTTTAGAATGTTTTTATCTGAGTAAATTTAATGTATGGAAAATAAAGAGTTAAACAGAGTCCCCCAGGAATTACGTATTTATTTTATAAGTTACAAGATATTCTAACACATACATATGTATAATATTATACCTTATCCTGTTGGGCCTTCTCCCGCTTGGCCCTTGCAAGGGGTTTTTTCCTTAAATTCCCGTTATTCCTATTGCTCTCTGCTTCCAGATGCCGGCCCGGGAATCACGGAGCTGCTGCGGCGCTTGCAGGTCCCCTCTTGGCTCAGCTCCTGGCCCGGACAAGCGGCTCTGGAAGGTTCGTTTGGGCTTTTTGGTGTTTTAAGAGCCGCGGCGTGTGCAGGGATGGGATGAGCAGGGAAGCTCGGCCGGAGCGCTGGGATGCGGCTCCGCCGCCCTGGCTGCTCCCTCGGGCACCAGGACACTGGCACCGAGGGCAAAGGGAAGTGTGATGTGGAGCTGAGCACACGGGGTTGCCCCTTCCCGTTGGGAATTGCGTCTCCCAGGGCCGCGGTCGATTCCCGCTGGGTGCAAAGTGCAGCTCCTGGAAGGTAAAAGGCTCCCGCTGGGATGACGCTGCAGAGCACGAACAGAAACAGAAAACGGGGAGTATTGGAACACGTCACCGCGCGGGCAGCTCCCGGCCTTCGGGAAAGGAGCAACGTCCATCCCGAGAGCAGAGCTGCCCTGGAGGGCCCTCACCCGTCCCTATCCCATTCCATGGGACCAAAGGTCTCGGCACAGGCACCGGGCGCTGGCAGCAGCCCCGGGTCCTCTGGAGCAGATGGAATCAGGCCCTCCCAGGCCTCTCTCTGCAAACACTTAAACCTTCCATAAATAACCACACGAGCCAGAGTGGAGTAATCGGGATGTAATCCATCCATATCAGCACTGTATTAATTTTAAAAAAAAGCAACATTTGTACAGGAACATCAGTCAATCACGTTGTAATTACAAGTATGGTTGTCAGTTATGAGTTAAACAGTTCCTTACACAAAACTAAACATAGGACAAGCCGCATTGAAAAGTTTACATTGAAGTAAAAACACAACATTAAAAAATCTGAAGTAAGCCTCGTGAACAAGATGCATGCAGAGAGGTGTGAACAGGTACCAAGTGTACCCCTTACTGAGCTAGAGTGCCACGACGCAGTAGTATTGCTTCTTTTCCCCCCGTTCTAGTACGTTAGCTTCCAGTAACAGATGTGGTTAGGTCACAGACACGTAATATACAGGAGCAATCTCAGCCTGCTACGCTTCACTGTACGACGAGAGGAAAAACACATCTCCTAGCGGGTAGCCCTGCTCTGCACGGGCTGCTCCGGCACGCGGAGGTCGCAGCCCCACGCGGGGACCCTTGGAGGCAGCAGTGTCACGCGTTGGTCACGTCTCGCAGGCTGCTTTTCGCACCCCGCTGGCGGGGACACGAAGGTGACAGGAGAGCGGGTTGGATTCGGGATGCCCGGAGTGACACAAAAACCGCCTGCTCCCGGGATGCAGAACGGGAGCAGAGGCTGAACCCGCGCCCGGCGCGACGGCCCTGCCACCGCCTCCGGGACCCGCTCCCGGCTCATCCACAATCCATCCCCGCGGGGAGGCGCTTTCGGAAGCCGGCCCGGATGGACTGGGGCGTTTCACTGACCACGCAGGCATTGGGGAGTGAGAACAGAGCGCAGTTTATTTGAACATCGCCCGTCCCGGTGCGTGCTGTACACTTAACATCCTAGAACTACAATAAAGCTGTGGTGTTTGGTATGAGTATTTCAGAAACTGGCACCATCTCTAAGGTGGTGGTACCAAAAAGGGGGAAAAAAAAAAAGTCAGGAAATAGGAGTTTTACTCCCCCGTCTCACCCCAAGTGCTTGCCTTAACCCACTGCAGCACTGAGACAAATCTCCACTTTGGAACATTAAATGTACTGGCTCTCACTAAAAGCTTTCCCATTAAAAAAAAAGTAATCAAAACAGAGAAGGAAATACAGGGAGCTTTTCCAGAAAAGTGTCACACGAAACTTTAGCTTCTCACCGGTGCCTGTTTGCCTGTTCAGGTCAATTGAGTGTCCATTCGCAGCTGACGCGCGCGCAGCCAGGATCCGCTCCGAGTCCAGGCCCGTGAATGTGCCTGCGTGGAGCGTTACAGCAGCTTTCCAAAGGCAGAGGTGCCCGTCTGGACTGCTTAATATTCACAAACAAGGCAAGGTAAGATGAGACACCCGCTAAAGCAAGACTATGCTAAGGTACTGAGAGCATCGGTGACGGTTCTTTTCCCTGGGGTGCGCGCGGGGAGGAGAGGGGGTGACGGCCGAGGGTGCCCGGGATCCCGGGGGCCTAGCGGGCCGGCTGCGCCCCGAACGTCTCCTGCGAGGCGTACACCATGTAGAGGAAGCCGTCCTCGTCCTTCTCGCTCTCGTACACCTCGGAGATGGGCGTGGAGACGCTCACCATGCTGTGCCCGTTCACCAGCAGGAAGAAGGCCTGGTTGGAGTTCAGCTGCAGCCGGCGCCTGCGGGGGGCACGAAGGGGTTTCGCCAACGCGGTGCCGCGCGCGCTTGGTGCAACAGGCAAAACCCAAGGCCGCTGGAAGCTCTAGGATGCCCCAGCAAAGCAGCCCCGCCACTAGGAAAAGCACCTGGTTCCCACCCCAAGCCTGTTCCCCCAGTGCAATCTCCTAAATCTGATCAGTTTCTGTAGTGAAATTCATCTTCTCCACAGGCGGAAGCCCTTATTACGCTGGAGTGGAATGGGCTGAATTCCAGGAGGGCCCTAAAGTGCAGTGAGAAGGAAAAGGTGTTCCCAGGCAGCCTGGTTATCCCTGTATTCCTAACAAAACACGTGAGGCTCAAGGGACCGTGCAGCTTAGCTGGACGGCAGCTCGCTGGAATCGAGTGGAATTTAAACCCTGACTGACCTTGGGAAACCCACGTGAACTGGGGGAGGGAGAACGGGCAGAGCTTCCACCTGGAAGCTCCGTGAGCGCCCACGTTCCTGCCTGCAGCGTCTCGCGCCTTCCCGCCTCTCCGGCGGGTGGGGAGAGGCAGCCGCGCCGCGGTCCGCGTTCCGCACGCGGCAGCTCAGGGCATCCTTCCCTCGCGCCGCTCGTTCCACCTGGCAGAAACTCCCAGCACGGGAGAACTTCCCGGCCCATCCTGCTCCCTGCCGAGGGCGGCAGCAGCTCCAAGGAGCGTTTCTGGAGCTCGCAGCTGGGGCCCAGGGAAAGACGATTCTCAAACCAAGCTGGAATCACCGCCCAGGGTGGGCAGCAGTTCCGAGGGGTTGGAAGGATGGGCCTGCGCTGCCCAGGAACCCAGGGCAGCTTGTACCAAGCTGCCTATAACCACAAAGCCAAAGGAAAAAGGTGGGGAAAAACACTTCCAATTTGCTTTTTGCCCAGGGGCTTTAATGTTCCTTGGAAATTCTGGAAGTCTCCAGCAGTCAAGAGCTGCTGAAGCAGGAATCAGTCTCACTTTCTTGCCCGTGTGAGAGCTGCGATTTGCTCAGACAGATGGGAGAGCCCTTATTTTTACAGCTTGTGCCCTCCAAGAAGCAGCTCTCTGCTACACCGTGACCAATAAAAAGCAAACTCTGGTTTGCTTCTGACTTCCAAGTTTTCTGCTTGGGAACCCTCACTAATCAAATACTCCTTTTGACACGAAGCCAGGAGAAAGCCACTTCTAGCAGAATTTCTGGCCGCAGTTTCAGACCACACAACTTCCACTTCAGGGCTACTTTTCCATTGCCTTTCCTTGTAGGCAGAGCCCGCACCAGAGCGGAGCAGTTCCTGCAGGAACAGCTGGAGCAGGGAAGCTGTGTGTTTTTCAGGCCTCAACACGGCCATTTGGGGTAACCTCATTCCATGATCAAAGGAGGCTGATATTAAGCCTAAGGAGGAGCTCGCAGCTCTCATTTGTAGCCCCAAATCCCCCCCATCCATTCCTGGAAATAGGCTATTTCTTTGGAAAATAACAGCTCAGGTCTTTTTGGACGTGGCTAAGGAGGAGCTGGTGGTACCTGCTTTAGCCTGCACAGAAAGCTGGAGCCTCCTGCTCATCTCCGTGTCCGACGAGCTGCAGGTTCCAGCCTTTAATTTGCTGAACGGGGTAACTCTAGTCTGAGGCTCACGTGGCTCTAGCACAACACCAAAATAATTGTATCTACTACAGAAAAATACAGCCTTTCTGTTTCAGGGCTATTTATATCCCTATTTCTTTCTCATGGAAACAGCTGCCAGGTGCATCAGTGGAAGGCCCTTTGCACAAAGCTTCTACACCAGGGCTGTGCCAGCAAAGAGCAAGGAACATCACCCCATAACTAACTGGTCAAGCACCAGCTAAACGAGTTTTCCACTTCAAGAGTTCCCCAAATCATACACCAGCTATGAAATTAATAAAGAACCACGAGTTTGATGCAGCATATACTGAAATCACAGCATACTACCTGATAATTTTGATTAGCTCACTCATGTTGACATGATCTGGAACCAGGAACTTAGTCTTATCCAGGACTGGAAGCTGTTTCTCCCCCTTGTACCTTTCAATAATCACCTAAAAGAAACAAAAATGTTAAGATGAGAGGCAGAAGTGCCATGGTCCCCTCACACACCCTGCCCCACATTTTAAATGCAGAAGTAGGGAAGGATTTATGCTAAGATCCATTATACTTCATTTGCGAGAACACCACCTCAAATTTAAAACCAGAACAGGTATTTTCACCCGCCCCTCTCGTTCTGTTTGCAAGACTCCCTGCATGACGGGGGAAAAAAACAGGAATTCAGCAACACTCCCTCACAGCTTCAATACAGTTTTATAACTGTTATATTGCTAGAATCATTTCATCTGCCACTGAGCTGGCCAGCAGCAAGGAAATTCAAGGAGAGAGTCCCTGTGTCTGGGCTGCTATCTAGGTCTGCAGCCCCAAGCAGCTTTCCCTAGAATCTCTCCAGTTTCTCCTGACTAACAGACCATCTCTTTCTAAGAGCCACAGCTCAGAATTATCACTGTATTAGAGAAAGCTACTTTTGAAGGGTATAAAACCTCAAAGGAAGAGCTTTTTCCCCCTTAATCTCAAGAGAGCATGCCTAGTAACCAGTAATTCTGTCAAGATTATTATGTACTACTTAGTTCATGAGGAAATTGTAGATTTGCCAGTGTCAGTAGCAGCCTGCCCAGCAACTGTATATAGTTTCTGCTTTTAAGGAAAGATCTCAGAATTCCTGCATCTCTCTTTCCACAGCCATGTGGGTTCTGTTGTTTTTCAGTCAACAGTAACTATGTGACACCATTCGCTTGGAAGGGACTTGGACCATTTCCACGGTCACAAGGTCTGACGGGGTTGATATTCCAAAGTAGCACAGGTGAAGAGATAGCAGGCCAAGTTCAACGAAAGACTTCCTTAAACCGCTTTAAATAAATGCCGGCTAACTCAGGGGTGGGGAAGCAAATCAAAATTATTTTTAAGAGGACGGCCATAAACAATGGATATTTTCAACTGCAAAACGAAGGACGGGATATGACGTTGTCCTCCTGACTCATCCAGAGCTGCTAACGAGGATAACGAGGCAGTGGCCTAGGACACGGGCTGGCAGCACAGCGAGGCCCCAAGGCTCCCGGCAGGTTTTGCCATGGTTGCAGGATTGCATCACTGCACCTCCAGCGAGCTGCTTAGGGACCTCCACATTTTTTACTAGTAACATCTCCACAGCTGCCTTCGAAAGAGCTTCACTGTAAATCAGTCACTTCAACCTGTGGTCACAGAGCTTGGGGACTGCTTCTAAGTGATCAGTGAGAAGTGAAAGAAAAAGCAACCTGTTGCCAGGAAATAAATTTGTCAGGAAACGGCCTTTTGGGGAAAGCTGCAGGCTCTGGACAAGTCAGAACATCCCTGCTATAAACGATTACTGCTGCCATGCCCAGCAGCAGCTACTGGCCAAGCTGCTGCTGCTGCCATTTGAGATGAAGTCGCTTAAACCTGGAGGGTGGCTGAAAATTTTCAGTTTCCATTTTAAGTGGCAACTGCTTCTGTTAATAAACTTGCACTAGATCTGCAGACAGCTTGCAGGTAATCTGTGTATCTGCAGAAAAGTCTCCACTCACAAAGATCATCAGCTCTCAGAACTGAAAGCCAAAGACTGAGGCCTCCCGAGTTCACCCTTCTGCCTCTCAAGATCTCCCAAGCCCTTCCTGGTTCCACCAAAGGCCACAGGGACAACTGCATTTACTGCTTACTGTGGTGACACCCGCCCCATGACAGGTCACTAATTACGGCCCACATTAGCAGTGTATCACAATATCCTTTTCCTTCCGAGGATGCCTTGTTTTGCACTTGTAACCTCTGGGATGCCGTGAAACAAAACTAAGGTTTAAGGAAGTGGTTTGGGGCTGTCCCGTGCGAGATGAATGAGGTCAGGGCTGTTCTCTGTGGCTCCCAGTTATGGGTCACCTCTGTGGGGTGGCTCAGCACAAGGTGGAGGGGGTTGACGGATACAAAGCAATCCCAGCAAACTCCAAGCAAAGATCCCTTCCTCCAAAGCAATGTTCCCGTCTTCCTCAGCATGGATGTTGAAGGAAAGCTACATCTGACTGAATAACTGTGTAGTCTTCTGGGTTATCTCCTGCAAACTCTTCTTTCAGGGAAGGAATATGTCCATTTTTAGGATGAGAAGAGCTGAACACTCGGGAGAATCTCAGAGCTCACTCGGGGTGTGGCTTTCTCTGAAGCTACAGCCTGTACCTTCAAAACACAGGAAACTCCATTTCCTGGAGTCACCTTGCTCTGTCGCAGCGACAAGCAGCTGCTGGTTTGAGAACATTTCTGAAGTCCAGGCTTAATGGCCTCCAAGGGACACATTTTAATTAGGACTCACCAGGGCAGATTTTTCATAGGATTCTAACCAGCAAAAAAAAAAAAAAAAAAAAAAAAAAAAAACAACCATGAGACCTGAAACTCAGCTGACAAGAACCAGACTTACTGGTATTTTAGTTGGATGTTGGTCTCGAATCAGTCGTACATCTTCCACTCTTTGCTCTGCAAGAGATTAAAAAAGACAAAAAAAAAAGCTGCTCAAATAGCAACATTTAAGGCTGTTATTACTTAATTTCTCCACCAGTGAACAGAAATAGCGCAAGTTATAAAGCCACAAAAGTAAAGTCAGACAAAGCTGTTTTCTAAGAGGACAACATTGGCAAAGGCAAACTCTCATTTCACTGCTTCACGCCGTTCTTTGACCCAGGATGACAGGATGCACATTGCCTGGGACTCCCAAAATGTCTACAAGGACATGGACCCCTCATTTTCTGCCAACTTAAGCAGACATTTAATCGCATAAATTTAGGGGATCAAATTACACTATCCAAGTTAATGACTAAATATCCCGTCCTATTTCCACTGGATCCCACAAGAGGAAGTTGTCAACAATTCTTTGAGACCCGGGACTAGCTGAAGCCAGGCAGTATCAGCTTACACTGTTGCTTCTAATATTACAGAATTACAGTTTTCTCTTCTGATTATACTGCACATATTGTGGCATGAACCGTTGGTAGGTTTTGGTACACCAAGATACTTCTCTGTTATCTGTGCCAGTTTTTCAGGATAAAGTTCATCTCAGACATAAATATTAATAGCAGAGATATTATAAACTGGGATGAAGTACAAGTCGGGGCCTAAGTAAACGGATGCAGTTGCTTCTAGAGCCAGTTGCATCTGCTTATACCATGGCTGCTTTTGCATTCAGTGAACCCAAATGTAATCTCTCCGGTTTCTTTCAGGAGCTCGGGGCTTTCCAGGCCATCTCCATCTACAAACACCTTTCAGGGAGCGGATTGAGCATCGCAGCAGAGCTGGAACAGACACTGACAGCGGGCAGAGGTGCTGCTCGGGGGGAAGGAAGGCCTTAGATGAGCAGCAGAGTCATTATTTGTGTGCTAACGCGCGGGACACGCTACCTGCCCTGTCATTCAGCAGCAACATTACTCAGCTGCGCACGGGGAGCCACGGCACCCGCGCACCTTCATGAGCACGGGAGGAAACGCAGTTCACGTGAGTCACGGGCTCGGGCCGCACGGGAACGAGCAAAACTCAGGCCATGGGTATGCAAAACCCCCGAGAGGCTCCTCGGGCCTCGGGCTCATCCGCGCGCTCGGGGACAAGGTAGCTTCGAGCACAGCCCCAGCTCGTTCAGCCCTTTCAGCCGCGCTCTCCGTGGACTAGAATTAACACTTCCAGGGCAGCGACACTGGCTAATTAAAGCACGGTTAAGATTAAGCTTAACTAGAAACACGAGAGATACCGGGAGCCAACAAGGCCAAGGGTCTGCCCAGTGAACCCAGAGGGGTCCTGCTAACTTTGGAGCTGGAACGGGCCTGGCACTGGCGTTACTCAGCACATCTCCCCGAAGGACGAGGCACATTAAGCAGGACGAATCACGGAGATTATTGTTTACGGCACGCTCCAAACCAGGCCCCGGCCCGCCACGCACAAACACGGCGCTGACGACACCAGTCGCAGTGGCAACTGCTTGGCTGCCATCCTGGCCGAACTTAATACCTGCGAGGGAGGCCGCTGGCAGCAGGGGATGGGACAACCACAGTTTGGGGAGGCCCCGCGGAAAGGGCCACGGTAACCGCGGGCCTCGCTGGATCCCAACCGGCCTCGACGCGGGCAGCGGCCGGTGTTTGGCGGAG